GGCTGACCTCTGAAGCGTCCAGACTTACAAACTTTTCCGCGAGGTGTAAATACGAACGCTCGGTGGCGTTCGGCTCACCTTTAGAGTTTCGACGATGCTCAAAGACGCGCCCTCTGAATTCCAGCATTCCACTCACAAACATGTTATTATATGCTACACAAATTAATCCGCAAGCAAGAGGAAGATCAAATACGAGAAAAATCCCGTCGAATTTGTCGACTCCATCCCGTCCTCGCCCTCGTCGACCATAGCGTCAACCTCACCCTCCACACTACTAGAAGGCTCCGGTCCCGCGCCCTCGTCTGCCACAGGGTCAGCCTCACCCTCCGCACTCCCACTCGAAGGCTCCGGCCCCGCTTCTGCGGTGACATTCGCCGGCGTCGGCGGCCTCAGCCCCTTCGGCCTGCCACACCCCTCGCACCCAAACCCGCCCGTGCTCAAACTCGGGGGTAAATCCTCTGCCCCCGTGCCCCACGTACTCCCATTACTCGCCCCCATAACCAGCTCCAGCACCCCGCCCTCCTTAAACAACTTGTGCGAGATCCAATTCTTGGTGTACGTCTCGCCGTTCAGGGTGGCGGATTGAACGTATTTGTTCTCAGCGGAGAAGTTGTGGGCGATGATGGTGGCGAGGGCGCCGGTGGCGTCGTTGCGGAGGGTGATCTTGGGGAAGTAGGGCCGGTTGAGGAGGTAGGTATCTTGCCCTGCGACGGGGTAGAATCCTGTATTTGATGCTATGAGACGGACGCCGACAGAAGGGAGATAGGAAAAGTACGCACCAAAATGCGTCCACACGACGTACGCGCCCATCGAGCCCGAGTCGTCGTTCCCCGGGAGACCGTCAAACCTTGCGTTCAACGCCAGTCAGCGGATGTTCTACTCGCCGGAGACTTTGAACCGACTCACTCGGTGCTGTAGTACTGTGCGAGCGACGCATCTACCCTGTCGACTGTTTTCGTCGGCTGCCCGACGTAGTTGTATAGGTACGTCGGCACTATTCAATAAGTTCTCGTGAGTAACGCGAAAATTTGGTCGAAATTTGAAGAAGAGAAGACCCACGAAACCCTGGCTCGTCGCCCATGTCCTGCGACACAGAAGTTTAAATTAGAATGAATTCCCGGCGAGTATATGGATCGACTAACGTGGAATCCCGCCTCGAAGAACTTGTCCAAGCGCGCGCTGCCGAAGAAAACAATTAGTTGTCAAAAGCGTTTCGGACCGCAACCAAAACCCCCCACCTAAACGTCTCCGGCCCGCCCATAGCATGCACGAGACTCGCCATGTCGTGCGGGACGTAGAAGCTATATTCCCACGACGACGCCTCGTAAAACTCGCCCCCACCGAAGCCCTAATAACGCACACACTTGCATGAGCTCTGTAACACGGGGATACTACCAAAAAAAAGGAGGGCACTACGAAAATAAAGAGAAAAGACGAAGAAAACGCACCCCGTAACAATCATTATGCCCATAAACCGGACTACAATGGTCCGGCCGAAACACGCCCCCCTGATCGTAGCTGCTTAGGAACCACGACCCGTCCTTATTCCGCGGCTGGATGAACCCCTGGAACCCCGCATGCGTGGCGTCGGGGTTCCAGATGTTCGCCCAGTCGCCGGAGACGTTGAAGTAGTGCTGCGTTATGTTGGCGGGACGGGAGAGCCCCTGCGCGACGAGGGCGATGGAGAAGTCGTTGTAGGCGTATTCGAGGAGGCGGGAGGCGCTTCTGTGGTGGGAAGAATAGATAGGTATTAAGACCACTGCGCGGATGAAGGGAGGGAAGGAAAAGGAAAGAAAGAAAGAAAGAAAGAAAGACGAGGTGTACCTGGTGTTGGCCCCCGGACTAGGCGGGTGGTCCGTATCCCACGCGGGCACATACCCGAGCTCCCTCCGCGAATTGATCCCCCCGCGGCCCTCGACCTCGAAGTCGCCCATCACCGTCGCGTCCTTGACCATCGCCTCGAAACCCGCGTCCCAGTCGATGCCTGCTTTTATACCCTTGCGTTGGCGTCAATTTGGAGTATACTTTACGAAAGGGGATGCACAGGAGGCGGAGCGACAGATAAGAACGCAGCGCACCTTGACGAACGAGTCCGAAAGCAGCGAATCCGCATTCGACCCGCCCTGCGTGAACCCCTTGTCCGTCGACATCCGGCAGTCGGGCAGCCACCCCGCGAACCTCCAGATATCAATCAGCGCACGCACGACCTCGGCCTGCACAGCAGGCGCGGTGATGGCGTAGAGCGGGTGGATGACGCGGAAGGTGTCCCAGATGCAGTAGAAGCTGTCGTAGTACGGCTCGTGCGACTCCCACCGCGGGTTGTCGCCGGTGAGGTTTATGGGCGCGATGTATGCGCGGTAGAGCGAGGTCCAGAAGAGCTCCTGAGTGGAGGGGCTGACGCCTGTTGTATCGACCTTCACTGTGGATAAAACCGAATTCCATTTTGCCCTGGATACGTGCGTGAGCGCGCGCAGGTGGATGATATGGAAGAGAGAACGTGTACCTAGCAGCCCCGCGCACATCCTCGAACGCGACCTTGGATATCTCGGGTATCTCCTCCTCCGCATACGCACACGCCCTAGCGGAGCTCGTGAAGGAGATGCCCATCCGCACGTAGAGCGTTCGCACGTCGTTCGAGTCGGCATTAGTGTCGGGGTCGGTGTGCGTTTCGACGGCGGACTGACGCTTCGAGGGAGAAGAAGGCGGAGGAGATGGAGATGGAGATGTCGGAAACCCCAAAACGACCCCCGCCGGCCCGTGGTGGCCTATCTCCCTCTCGAACCCGCCCTCTGCACCCGTCTCATTTACGCCTCCCGTCCCTACACCCGCACTCGAATCAAGCGCAGCACTCGAATTCAACTCGGCGTACTCCCTCACCCCACTCGTCGTCTCGTAGTACACCGCCTGCTTGAAAGAGAGGGGCACGTCGAGGCAGTAAAAGACGCTGTAGTTGCCCTGCCCGAAGGAGGGGATGAAGGTCCCTGTGCCGGTTATGCGCGTCCCTGGCCCCGCGTTCGTTTTGGGGTTCGGAATCGTAGAGTTGAACTTGATGGAAGGGGAAGCGGAGGAGGCGACAGACACGCGCCCGCCGCCGCGGTATCTTTGTTCCAGATCTATTACGCGTTATTCTTTAGTTCAAACCACGCCGCGAATAGAGGGAGGACGCACCGCCGGTCGCGTCGAGCAGCAACACCATCTCCTCCGCATCCGCGGGGTAGGTAAATCGGTACAGAGCAGTATGCTCCGTCACCGTAGTCTCCGCGAGGACGCCGTTGTTGAGGGGGATGCGGACTGGTAAAGGATAAATTAAATAGATAAATCGTGTGCTGCAGAGCAGTGATGCGTGCACGCCTCCACTGGATGGCCTGAGGCGCAGGGCTCACGACTCCATCGTTCGGTTCAGTAAAAAACACTCACAGTATCCCGGCGACGCACTCGGTTCCCCATGGTCGATCGCTCGTGCGTTGCGGTCGGTCGTACATTTCGTGAGGTTATATTCGGGGGCATTCCGCGCTGGTGAGGGGGAGAAAGGGGAAGTTGCCAAGGGAGGCACTGCCGCCTGTGCCGTCGTCGTGTCTATCGAATCCCGTTCAGCATCAGTACAATCGAATCTCAGACGAGGATGGAATGAAGTGAGAAGTGTATACGCGGCACGCACCCCGAAGAAAAGCCTGTTATAGGCGACCCATCGCTGACATACCCCGCCTGGTCCTCGCCCGAGCGAGAATCCGGTCCCGCCTTGACGGCGCCCCAGGGCAGTGTCGCGCCCGGGAATACATGGCCCCCGTTTTTGGTCCCGATGAAAGGGTTTACCCACCGCGCGGGGTCCGGGTCGGAATCTGAACCATCGAGATGTTGCGCAAGGGCGGCGACGAAGAGGAAGAAGAAAAGAGCGAATGGCAGTCGAGTTTTCATGGAAGGGAAGATGGAATGAAGGAGTGAAGGAATGAAGGGAAGCGAGGCGTGACAATTCCGAGTCGGGTTGTTGCATGCTCCTTTAGTCTAAGTTTGCAATTCTGTCAACTCCCGATCATTGTATGATACAGTGATCGGGAGTATCACTCGGCTTTTCGGCTTGTTGAGTCTCTGTGTCCGTGAAACCAGAAATCTCAACAACGGGAGCAACGCGCCGACATCGGTGCGCCGTCTTCTTTCAGTCACCATGGTCACTGCCAGGGGTTCAGTCGGACCAGTTCTCAAGACTCGGACCCTCTCGGGCTCATCAGCCCGTTTAGCGAAATTAGCTTGGCACCTTTTCCCCTATAGGAGTGACATGCTCGGCGGCATGCTCGGCAGTAATGACTACCCTTCCGCGTCCTGCGGCAATGTGGCTGAGTGCGGCCGTCCATTGAGCCCAGGAATCTCGACGATGTGGATGAAGAGAAGGTTGACGGTTCGTGGTTGAATTCGGTCACGTGAGATCTGCAACTGATGGCCGAGATGCCGTTCTTAGCTTGGATGGCCGATTCTCTTGGCGCCAGGGGCTGTGCGCGTGGGCTCGGAATAATCGATCATGTCCGATAACAATTGTAGCGCGCTTCGCGGCAGAGCCCACTAACTTGGGGGTCTGTCAATTATACACCATTTCAAATCCAACAGATGTATACAGGCAAAGCCTGAGGGAAAGTTAACATACAGAAAACAAGAAGCCATTGAGTGGAGTGTTTAAATTTTTAATGGATGGGGGTTTCATTGTCAGCTTTGAAGCAACTGCTAGACATTCAGAGTCTAGATGGCTATGATCTAACCTAGAGCTCTCCCACCTCTGGCAGTGCCAAACAATTAGTATCTGCCATGATGCAGGGCATGAATCAAGGGAGAGATACATGACACGAGCCATTCAAGAGCTTGTTAATTGCAAGTATTGGCAGGCTTTCCAGTTGACATTTAGTGCGGCCTGTAAAAGCCACCTCATTCAAGTCCCGCTCACCATGCTCACAAACTCCAACAAAATTGATTGTATTACACGCCATAAAGAAGACACCTGGCTCACTGGTAAGCTCAGACGCCGGGAGTCGAACCCGAGGCTTACCCTTGGTGACGTATATCGAAGTACAGAACAGCAGGGGGTCGTGTTTCGTTACACCACGTCTGAGTGCAGTAATTGGGAACGGACTAGTTAAAACCAAAATCATCCCGACTCAACTCAGTCTAAGCACCGCCCAACGGGCTCTCGGATCTGAGCACAGAAAAATTCGGGCGTGGTTTCGAAACTTCGACGTTTCATGACTTCCGGCGGCGCGGACAGCGGAGACAGGGAGGTAGACGAGATACATGAGCGGACATGGGAAAAAATGTAACCAGTTTCATCACCAATACCTAGACGCCGGGAGTCGAACCCGGAGTTGCCTCATAACATCAGGAGCCACATGCATTGTGAGAGGATGTGTTTCGCTACACCACGTCTGATAAGCTTGTTGAACAGATTGTGGATGTTGTTCTGCTCCCACCTACCCACCTCATCTATATCCAGCTCACCATGCTCACAACCCCCCCCCCCCCCCCCCCCCCCCCCAAAAAAAAAAAAAAGATCTGGGATATTTGGCAAGCTGAGATGCCGGGAGTCGAACCCAAGGCTTCCCCTTGATGACGTATATCCGAAGTACAGAACAGCAGGGGTCGTGCCTCGGTACACCACGTCTGAGTACTGTACATTGGGACACACTAGTTAAACTCTCTGCTCTACCGTTTCCGCACGCTCAAAAAAATGTGGATCATGATCAGATTCCAAGCCCGAAAATTTGAACCAGGGTCACGGCTATGAAAGTTCGACTTCAAGCAAAGAGGTCATGCCCACGCTAACACGAAGAATTAGAGAAAGAAAGAAAGAAAGATCCGTACCGAGGTTATTGTCAGGGGAACCCCCGGTCCGTGCCGATCCGGTACCGGAACCTCCGGTTCCGGCACCCTCCGAAACCCTCCCCACACTCCCTTCCGCCCTTCCCTTAACCATCACCTTGACCCTGCCTGGCACTCGGCCTGTGACAAGGCCCGCAACCTCTGCCGGAACCTCCGGTCACGTGCCCCCGGGCCCTCCCGAACCACCGGATCACCGTAGGCACGTGCTCCTAGCTAGTTGGTAGTTATACCCACGGCCCGGCGTGGGAATCCTCAGAGTTTCTTCTCTTCGGATCCCCCTCACCAGGTTCGTGCCTCGTGTACTTTAGCTCTATTTATATATAACTTCGGATCCCCCTCGCCAGGCTCTTGAGTACGCTCGGGCCCTGAGGTTGCCCTTACAGTTATCTGATACTCACACAGCGGGGGTGTCAAACCTGGGATTGCCTCATCATGTGGACAGCTAATTGATTCATGGCAAAAAGAATTGCTAGGGTTCAACGAATTTAGGCGCCGGGAGTCGAACCCAGTTACCTCGTAATATGCTCATTTGAGAGGGCGTGTTTCTCTACACTACGTCTGACTGATTTGTTTTCCACTCAACCCAACAAACCCAAGCACGCCCGACTCAATGACTTCAGAATGGGCTCGAGCACTGAGCTAGAGTCGGTCCCTTGGAACCAATGTCTAAAGCCTCCAGCGAGAGAGAAGGGGAAACGAGAAAGAGGGAGAAATGGCAGCAGCGAAGGCACTCCACGCAGAAAAAAAGGACCATTAACGCCGAACTACTCAGACGCCGGGAGTCGAACCCGCGTTTGCCTCAGAGTTACTCCGGGAGCGGAAATGGAAATGGAAAAGGATTCGGATTTAGGAATGATGCCTGACAAATGCCTTACGTGTAAGTTGGATACGGTAGCCGTGACGGGCTCAGCCTGGCGCGAGTTCGAATCCAACAAGAGTGACTTTTTTTCAAAACCTCCTTCGGCTTTTTCTCTCGCATATATGCAATCTCAGAGGATTCATTGAGGGCCCACAAATTTATTTATCACTTCAAGACAGCAGAATCAATTTTAGACTTGCTCTTTCTTACATATATGTAAATGTCCAAAAAAGCCGCTCTTGTTGGATTCGAACTCATGCCAGGCTGAGCCGGTCACGGCTACCGTATCCAACTTACACGTAAGGCATTTGTCAGGCATCATTCCTAAATCCGAATCCTTTTCCATTTCCATTTCCGCTCCCGGAGTAACTCTCAGGTGAACAAGGTAACCGGAGACGTCGTGCTTGGAATTTTGCTACAGATCTGATACAGCTCTTTGAACACAGCGGGGTGTTGTCAGGACGGGATATATCTGGACTGTTTATTCCTAAATAGTAGTAAGAATCTCACTATGATCAGAACAACGTATCATTTTTTTTTTCATTGCCTCATTTCTTTCATCTCATCTAAATCTCATCCTACTAATCCTTCATCCTAATCCTTTGGACAGAAAGCAACTCCCTGGCATTCCTGATTCGCATTCGATAAACAGGAATGGTTCCCGCTAGCGCACGGCGTTCGAAATAGTAACGGGCGTCCTAGGGATGAGTTCAAGATGGTTTCTGGCGTGTAAGATGATATTATTCCACCTGGAACCTTTTATTGCGGATTACAACTACGAAAAGGTCGGGTGATGGCGATTCATTTCCCATCCCTCCAGAATTCAAAGCAAACCTTACATAAAGAGCGGGAAAGTGCCCATCCAAGCGTTCTGTGCCACCTGATTTGTTTGTTTCGAAGCTCAACCTAGTCATTACACCAAAACAAATTTATTAACATGTAACGAGAAGAAGGAAAGTGGATGTGAGAACACTATTGAGTGAACAGTATTAAGTAGTGATTGATTTTGTCGGAAAACGCGCAAGAGAATGGAAAAGTTAGAGTTCGCTGGAGGGGAGAGCATCGTAGGTAGGACAGAGGCTGTCCCATGCAGCTGTGGGCGGGTACCATGAGTGAGTACGATGAACGTACCCGGGAGAAGCAAGTGATCATACGCACCGGGTATTGTAGCGTTGGTGATGGCGCCGGCGTCTTCCGCGAAGACGATTGCGAGGCCGCTGTACGGAATCAGGAGAGCTGGGCGGGAAGAAGAAGATAACGTACGCCTCCAAATGGAAGTCGATGTGGCTGAGGGAAATGATAATAGGTTAGGGCAGGGTGTGCAGAATGACCTTCAATATCTACCAATGCAAGAACCACCTGGAAACCGTCTGTTAGCGAAGTTTCACGTGCGGATGGCAGGGACCTACGGGCCAGGGTTATCTGTAACGAAACTGGATTGGAATACGGTGAGTTTGAGGAGATGAGGAAAGTCTAGAACAAAAAAACAGACCGAATGGTGGTATTGTCGCTATAAGACAGTCAGATCCTGAGAAGATAATCCGGATGGCGGAACGTACGTTGTGTCCGAACCCGTGCTCACAACATCACGAATTATCTGAGATGGATCTTGGAACTACGATCAATGATGCTTGGGAAGTAACGCACCGGATCTACAAAGTTGTACGTCGCATTCCCCGCGCTTTTTATTACGAAGAAGTTGTGCTGCGTTGAACCAGTTTAATGCGCAAAACAAAATCACTTAGATATATGTTGGGAATGGGAACTCACCCCGTGCAAATGAAATGGATGCGGCGCACCCGGTGTCCCACCGGGGATGGAGATCTCGACCACGCTATTCGCGGGGAGCGTGAACACACTTCCGGCTGGGAGGAGATCAGTCGCAGATTGAGCCCCGCTGAGTATCTGCAGGAGAACAGGAACGGTAGGGGGCGTGAATGTCTGGCAGTCTCCGTGAGCGGAGGGATTAGGCAAGGCGTGGAAAAGTAATACCGCCCCATTAATATCGAAAGCAAAGACCGTGGTGTTCAGCGTGATGACCAAGTTCATGGTGACGTTCGCGCCACCAGCGACTGCAGTTCCGGGAACGGCCGTGGCGACGAGCGGGTGGAGGTCAGTCTCGACGAGGGGCGCGGTCGAGTTGGTGGCGTTCGTGGCTGGGTCAGTGTCGTTCGCACCCACATACCGCAGGATCGCAGAATTGATTCCATTGTCGAATCCCGTGGTTCCGCCATCGGCAACGGTGCGGATCCAGTAGTTGTCGACGGGCTGGTTGGCGGTCAGGACGAATGAGTAGCGTTGGCCCGCGACTGCGACAAGTCACGACAAATCAGCTCAATGAAGTAGTTTATGGCGAAGTGAGGGCTGCGCACAAATCTGGATTGAATCGACTGTGAGGGGCTGGGTGTTGACGCCGTCGGCCTCGATGATGGTCATGTTGTGCCCATCGATGGTGAAGATGAAATTTGGGTCTGCTCGGAAATTAAATATGCATCGACTCGCAGGGAGAAACTGCTCACCACAGGATATGGAGACAAGACGCATCCTGAGGAGAAGATGGGTAATGAAATGAAAAATCGTGCAAAGTTGCGCACCGATACCGCTGGCCAGAGGTCACACTAACTACGGCCAGTTGTGAAGTCGGCTTTCAAGAGAAAGTTAGTCTGTGCCCGGTTTGTTCAAGGGAATCGTACACCGCCGGCATAACGGCCTAGAAACGTGTTAATTGGGGAACAATTAAGCACGCAGACCGACCATACCGAGGCCATTTATGAGCGTGGAAATGAGTGTCTGCGAATCCCGTTCGATCAACGCTGCCAATTGGCAGCGGCGAAGGACTTACCGGAATGTTTCCGAGCGTGCTTGCAGGCCCGTGGTCTAAATAAAGTCCGGTCAATCAAGCTACCAGTGCATTTTACTCAAGATCCTTACACCTAGAAATATTTCAGCCAAATTCGTTTGGGGGAGAAAATAAAACTGACCAGTCGGCAAGGGTGATCACGGTGGTCTCTGAAGGGTTATACTTAAGAACGTGGAAGGGTGATCGGGGGCGAGATGACTGACCATTGTCGACGTCTAAATAGCCTTGAATTATTCGGATCCATGAAAAGTACTGAGACGTACCGTAGAGATCGGCGTTCGGGTCGTCGGGGTCATAAACAACGAGAGGTCCCCTCAGTCCGTCGCAATATTGGGTAGCTATCGGGATGCGTGAGATGACGGAATGGAAACCAGGATGGATCACGTACCGAGATGGCTGTGATCTACGCAGAGTAAAGTCGAGAAACACCAGACAGTGGGATCTGTACTTACACCTATGGAGTCGGTCAGATATAGAAGCGGAGGAAAGAGAGGAGTACAAAAACTAACCAGAATGT